CTTGGTACATAGATCCTTTAGGACTATGCAGAGACCTGATTAGTTTTAGGGTAAATAATTGTGCATATTAATTACCTAATTTGCATAATTAATTTTCAGCTTTTCTACTGATATCTAAAGTACTAATCATCACATTTCAATGAATCTAGAATTATGCAGACCCAATTATTTTCTGGTAAATATTTGTGCATATTTATCACTAATTTGCATAATTAACCAACTTTCACACTGATATCTCAGGTACTATACATCACATATCAATGAATGTACATGGATGCTGTAGGACAATAGACAGACCTGAATAATTGTGGGTTACAATCTGTACATATTAATTACCTAATTTGCATAATTAACCAATTTTAAGCTTTCACACTGATATCTAAAGTACCGTAAAAACTCCAAAATTTCGACCGGTTTTAAATAATTGGTGTTAGAAATGTGACGTGTTTTTAGAGTCAAAATTAAGGTGCATTTTCGGACGGTCGAATTTTTCAGAATAGAAATCAGCAAATGAAAAACTGGGGATGATAGACAGTGTGCTTCATTAGTTTTTAAAAAATGCAATGTCCGTCAATTGACGTAAACTTCCTCATGTTTCACGGTAAAAGCAAAGGTCGTGGCCGAGTTGTAACTCAAAATCTAAACAAAGTCATCAATCAGTGAGTATTATGACAAGCAAAACAAAACATCAAGACGCGGAGAAGAGGTCAGCACAAAACTAATAGGTCAAAAGACAAAACTGTCTCGCACTACCTAGGAAAACTTGCGAATGTTCGAAGTACAGGTACCCATTGGACAAAAGATACATGGAAGTTTAGCAAACTATCTCCCCGACCCAGTGCAATGTATCCGGTTAGAATCAAAGCTCACGTGTCCCTTATTTGAGGGACCAAATTCTGCCGTAAATTCGCCCTTGGAATAAAAAATAAAATGGGATTTAAGGTAGCGAGACTATTATTTGAAAATTACGTGTTGAAAATTACGATTTTCACATTTATTTATTAATTGATGAAATGCACTATAAACTTTCATCTGATAAAGTCAATGTAACCTAGAATGTCATGTAAGTTGGTTAAAATGTAGATTTTCTGAAGGGAAGCAAGGCAGCCTCAGTAGTGTTTTCCAAAATCAACAACACAGGTTTAATCTGTGTGCCTATAAGTTTCAAAGATAAACTCAAGACAAAGCAATGTTAGGATGTGTTATCAGTAGCTATCTGACACACAATTAGTGTTTCCAAACATTTGAGTGGTTTGTCTCCGCCCCTATTTGTTTCACAGATTAGTCATTTTTATTTATTTATTAACACACAACATCCCTCGGAGGGGATGAAAAGGGTTACAAATCAGATATTAGTAAAAGAAAAATAACCACATAAAGAGTAAGGGAACAAAAAGGCATAAAAAAAAAAAAAAGATAATAAGTTGAATACAAGGAATGTATTACTGGCTTAGTTTATGTAGGTGCTGCTGTCTTGTATTAAAACAGTTTTTTAAATATTGCGCTAAAGGAATTGACATTTTCTCGTCACTTAGTAATGATATGAATTTATTTTCATTACTAAATTTGTCAAAATTTGGTATACGTTTATTAGCTACAATGTAAAGTTTTGATCTTATTTCATTGTAATGAGGACAATTTGTGACAAAATGTTGTTCATCTTCAACATGGTCATTGTCGCACATATTGCAGACTCTGTCTTTAAAATCCAATCCTGTATGCCGGCCTGTTTCAATTTTCAGACAGTGGTTGCCAA